AAATTTCTACCATTAAACTAAAATATAAATTTATTTAATTACCTAAACAGAACTGATAAACATCAGCACCATATTCAAAAAACCTAAAAATGCCCATTGATACACAAATAAAAGTTACTGTCCAGAGAGCACGAGAAAAACGTTCCACTGTTCGTAATTTTAATGTATTCCGACGATATTGAGTTAAAAATCTATAAAAATTATAATTATTATAATGAATAAGTTTCTAGAAAAAAAGAATTTTATGAAAGAAAATGTTTTTTTTTCAGTGCCACAAAAAAAATTTTAAATGGATTTTTATAATAAAAAAATATCAAGTATTTTATAATGACATAAATGCATTTAGCTATGTTTCATGTACTTTCAAAGTTGAACTCAATACCCTTTTTTTTCTTTAAAAAAGAACAGTTATAGAAAATTACCTTCTCAACTTTCATTTAAATCAATTTTATTTTATTTTTTACATTTTCCTTTTCGCATAAATTTGATTAAAGGAAAGAAAAAAAGAAAAGGAAATCTTTCAATCGAAGTTTGTTTTCGATAGAAACCTTCCACTAGCAAGAAGTATGCTAAATAATGTCATCATTGTGTCGATTGTGTGAGGTAAAGCTTCCATTGTTGTTTGAAACATATGACACATTACCACTGATTGATTAAAGCTTCTTAAAATTTCAATATCTTTAAATTTTTCAAAATTTAAGTACTTCGATATGAGAGCAATGTTATCCTACTTTTGAAAGGGCATTTCAAAATAGTTCAATAAAAAATGAATGATAATATTCCTGTTGAAGAATTGTTGAGAGTAAGAATATTTGAAATTAATAAAGGAATTAATTTATACTTGATACCGTCACCAATAATATAGTACCATATGGAGAAAGGTAACGGTGAAAGTAAGCTAATCCATCCACAAAATGATAATAACCATATCATTTGATATAGCGGATTGGGCTAAAAAAAATTACATTAGCAGTAAATTTATTTCATTCCATTTGATCATTTCATAGCCATTGAAGTTGAATCGCTAAAATTTTCAAAAATTTCAGTTCTAAATATTTTAAAAAAAATAAATAAATTGAAACTGACACTTATTGTAACAACGAATTTGTTTGATTTTATTCGATAAGTATATCCACCTTCTCCTCCTTCTTTTTCTCCCCGTAATTTCATAACTATTTAAATTAGCACACAAAAACTTTTGCAAATTTTAACTTTAAATTTTCACTTCACCAAAAAAATAACTTAAAACTTACACATTAGCATTTGTGAAATTTTAAATAAGAAAAAGGGAGAGAAAGAGAGAAAAAGGAATGCTATCATTTTTCTGATTTTATTTTACGAATTTTTAGCAAATTTCAACGATTAATAATTCTTTTAATAATTTTCTTCTGCCTTGCTAACGATAAATTTAAAAACAAACAAAGCGTCGATCTCCTTCTCGTTTTTCACGTTTTCCCATGCCAAGAAGTATGGCACATAATGGAGCAATCATTATGGCAACAACTAACGGATAAACAAATCCGTAAACAACTATATGAGACCAGGAATCATTCAACCGGCTGAACATGAAACCAACATTTTGTGACACTTTGCATTTTTTTGTAGGATAATGATAAAATTGCCCATCGCCACAACAACACTCTGATGCCTGAAGCAAAAAAAAAAAAAAATGCTCCATTTATTTAATAAATTTCAAATAGTTCTTTTTCTTTAAATTTTAATTTTAAAATCAGTTTCTCTATTATAAATGTACTCGATTTAAAATATTTATTACAGGAAAAAAAAGATACTTCCAAAGAAAAACAAAAATATCTCGAATATAATCCATCCGTTTCAGCATAATTTGTTCTATACATTTCATTTGCCTCCTTTTCATTAGTTTTTTCTTTTTTTTTTTAAATATTTATTGAGTAGCTTTAAGAATTGACTTCCGTAAATTATTCAGAATTTTCAACCTCTCAATCCATTTATTTTGGTTGACTAATAATGAGCATTCGATTTGCTTGAATTACTAAAATGTACTGAAGCAGAATTTCTAAAATTAAATTCTTGAATATACATATATGCTTTTTAACATATAATTTAATGAAATATTTCATATTTTATATTAAAAAAAAAAAGAAATTTTGAATTAAAATGAAACCAATTGATCATCTGTAGCACATCGATCAGATGGTAAGATAGAAATATTATGTATTCTCAGATCCGCTTCACCATCAATCGTTACTAACTGCATTGAAATTTATATGAAAAATATATGAAAGTGCTGTTTCGTTCAATATGGGTAAAACTATTCCACCGTTAATTAT